TCTGTATATTCAAGGGTCGAGAATTTTATTTCCAGTCAAGGGCATGTACCTGGGTTGCAGGTTCATCCCTGGCCCCAGTTGGAGCGGGTGCAGGAGGCAACCAATTAATGTGTCTCTCTCACATCAATATTTTTCTCTCTCTCTTTCCTTCCTCCCCTCCTTTCCACTCTCTCTAAAAAGCAATGGAAAAAAATATCTTTAGGTGAGGATTAACTAAAATCAGTTTTAGTGATGCTAAAATAGGTATATCACAAATTATCATTTTAACTATTTTTAAGTATAAAATTCAGTAATATTAAAAACATTCGCAATATAGCTGAAGCCGGTTTGGCTCAATGGATAGAGCGTCAGCCTGCAGACTGAAAGGTCTCAGGTTCGATTCTGGTCAAGGGCATGTACCTGGGTTGCGGGCACATCCCCATTAGGGGGTGTGCAAGAGGCAGCTGATCGATGATTCTCTCACATCCATGTTTCTAACTCTCTGTCCATCTCTCTTCCTCTCTGTGAAAAATCAATAAAATATATTTAAAAACATTCACAATATAATGCAATCAGCACCACCATTCATCCACAGAACTCTTTTATGTTGCAGAACTGGAACTGCATCTTCATGCTTCTCTCCTCCTCCCCTCCCCACCCCCCTGCACTGATAACCACTTTTTCACTTTGTCTCTATTAATTTAACTATTCTTGTATCTCTTATAGGTGGATTAATACAGTATTTCTCGTTTTACAATTGGCTCATTTCACTTGGCAAAATGTCTTCAAGTTTCATCCACGTTGTAGCATGTCAGAGTTTCTTTGCTTTGGAAGGCTGAGTAATGTTCTATCGTATGTATATACAATATTTTATTTGTCCATTCATTTGTCAATGGGCACTTAGGTTGTGTTGCTTCCACCTATGGTTTTTGTGAATAAGGGTATACAAATATATCTTTGAGTTCCTGGTTTCAATTCTTCAATTGTGAAGTGAATTGAAATTTCGATATTCTGAGTGAATATACCTAGAAGTGAAATGACTGGGTTTTGTTGTGATTCTAATTTCATTTTTTTTAAGGAACTGTCACTGTGATTGCATTGTCTTACATTTCCACTCACAATCCACAAGGGTTTCATTTTCTTCACACCCTCACCAACACTGTTGAAGGCATTTCACCACATTCATCGGGGCAAAGTCGGGTGGAGGAGGTGCAGCAGGTGGGAGAAGGAAGATGTTGACTTTGAGAACCACAGAGGCACCGTCTGAGGGCCTAGAGAGAATATATTGGGATGTCCCCACTCCACCCAACCTTTCCCAAGGCCTAGGGTGTGCCTCTTGGGTGTGGTGAGGGGCTTGGCAGTAAGAATAGGAACATACCAACTGAGCATCCCACCTTTTGACTGGAACTATCGTCTGAACCCTCCAGCAGTACCAGTCATTCTGAACTGGAGATGCTATTACATGCCTTTTACACAAATGCACTCGTGTGTGCACGCGCACATATACACACACCTACACACTATTTCTAGTTGGTGTTTGGAAAAGTTTAGGGCTATTGCCAAGTAGGATCTGGGGGTAGGGATGCTAAGCATCCTATAATGTGAGGGACAGACCAATGTAGGATTTTCCCCATCAAACCACCCGTAAACCTCCCTATGAACAATTAGAACCCCCTTGAGAGTATGAGTGTGAAGCACAGGCCTGGGAAGGCGCATGCTTAGCAGGCTTGTTGAGGGGCAGCCCCACATTCTCACTGGGTCCTTCTTGGCGGCAGGAGCAACCATCCCGTCCCGCTGGAGAAACAACAAGGCTGATCCCTCTTCACTCCTTCATCCTCCAAGGGTGGGTTTTGCAGATGAAGAGGATGTTTAGAAGGCTGCTCATCTTCATAGCTCACAACCTTCTTTCTGTGATTTCCCTTTGGAGACTGCGGTTCTTCTGTCCTGCGTTGGTCTCCTCTTGTTGCCCGAAGCTGGAACCCTCTTCGAGCATTCAGGGCCACGTCTAACTTGACAACAGGCCAGCCTGCTTTTCCCCAAAGTGCTCGCTCTGCCTGGAGGGGTGACAATGCACATCTGTGGAGGTGTTGCTGCCCTTGGCTACTTTCCCCAAACCTAAGATTATCCGTAAACCCAAGATATCATGTTACTTCTATTTTCACTATTATTTTATTGCCATACTGAGTAGAAAATCTTGATTCAAAGAAGGAATCTGTGTCGGGTTAAACACAAATGACAGTCACCATGGCTACTAATGAAATGAATACACTTTAATACAAAATAGGAGGTGCTTCCATGAAAGAATTATGACACAACCAGAAAGGTCGATCCCAGCATAGAGATCCTGCTCTTTGGAAATTACAGGGTTCTAATGTAGCTGGTGATAGACCAACTCTAAAGGGACCAAGGTCTTTATAGCTGCTGTGTGTGATGGACACAGGCTATCCCACTAATTTTATCACTGGACAGGTGGCGAGATCAGGCTGTCATCATCTTAACCCAGGGATTATTCTTAACAGTGATGACTTGAAAGCCAGATAGCATATCTCCTTGTACAATACAGCATAAACTATGCACCATCATATCTGGTGTACTCAGTCAAAAATATTAAACAGGAATTATAGTTGCAACTTCCAATTTTCAGAAAATACAGGAGAGAGAAGAATAAGTTAAATGACAACAAAAACCAGCAATTGGACAAATATGAAACAAGATATTCTTGGGGAAAGCTGATCTAGTCTTTTCAACAAGTCAGTGACAAATTAAAATAGATTTAAGAGGCACACCACTATGGGTTAAATCCTATTTTAGACAATCTAGCTACAAATTTAGGCTGTTCTTGAGAGACAGAAACTGAAAAATGGAATTATTTTTTCTAAGTATGATTTTTATTGATTTCAGAGAGGAAGGGAGAGGGAGAGAGAGATAGAAACATCAATGATGAGAGAGAATCAATGATCAGCTGCCTCCTGCAGACCCCACACTGGGAATCAAACCCATAACCTGGGCATGTGCCCTGACTGGAAATCAAATCATGACCTCCTGGTTCATAGGTTGATGCTCAACCACTGAGTCATGCTGGCCGATCTAAAAGCTTTCTTTAAAAGTTAAAACAATTTTTTAAAATATTTATTTTTGAAAGTATCATATAGATCCTCCTTTCTCCCCATTAGCCTCTTCCAATCGGCTCCCATTCCACCCCCCAAGCCCTCACCATCCCATAGTCTGTGCCCACGAATTGTGCATCAAAAGCATTTTAATGTAAGAAAAAGTTTAAGGTACGTGCTGAAAATCACACACACACACAACTGGAAATATTGGAGGATTGAGCAAGAGTAAAATTTGTCTTTATTTTAGATGAAAAACCCAGTACAAACTTACTGGTACTGGTTTAATTAATCAATTGAGTCTTGACCATGTACACAGCTCTATGAGATGCTGTTGGAAATGTAACAGGGGCAAGGCAATAAAATTCACTTAATAAAATAATAAAGAACAATTACCTTCTAAACCATAGAGCAGAAACTGAACACATCATGTATTTTCAGAGACAGGAGTTCAGTGGGGCCCATGAGGAGGCAGAGTGGTAGCAAAGATCTGAAGAGTGAGAACAATTAGGACAGCTCTGTGTGAGCCCACTCCTGTGTGCATGCCAGGGTGTGTCAATGAGTGCGTGTGCCTGCACATGTGTGTCCAGGCATGTGTCTGTTCCACATGCTCACATGTGTGACGGAGAGTTGCGTGGGTCTTGCTGTGACCACTTGGGATTAGCTGGCAAGATTACCCACAGAAGATTTTTCTTGCTATATATTTGAAAGAAAAATTTCTTTGCTTTCAAGTTCTCTTTTGTAGTTGCTTTCTGAGGGTTATTGTGACCTATAAATACTTATCCTTTTCCATATCTGAAACGAGCATTGTCTTCCAATGTAGCGGCAATGAGAAATAAACTGCATGCACATGTATACGGGTTTGACCTTTGCTGTATTTGTGCCTGGTCGGAAGGAAGCTTGGGAAGTGTCTCATGTGGTACTTTTTAAAATGTAAGACTAGATTCTAATCAAAATGCATTTTTCTAAGATTAGTTCTGCCATTTACCTAGCAAATGGATGAGTTGAATAAAGTTAAAGTCAATAATAGCATTCTCAATAAAAAGAGCAGTGATTTGCCCTTTGATTTCACAATCCCGTCAGGGATTTACGGCATTGAATCCTTGGTTTCACCACAATATTTTCTTGTAATTCCTGCCCTAAAGCAGAGATAAAGCAGATTCATTTCCCCAAAGGATCAAAGTTACAATTAGAAATTGTGTTGTCTAAAAATTGTGAAAGCTCCAGTATGCCTATCCAAAGAATAGGATTGTAGAGTGGAAAAGAGTGTTAAAAATCATGTCATAGGCTCTTCTTGACCAGAGAGGACATGTGACTTGCCTAAGGTCCCACAGCTCACAGCTGAGAAAAAGCTGGTCTAGAACTCAAGAGTCCTTGTGCCCTGGTTCCTATTTCACCATGCTGCCTCCCTTCTTAAAAATTCCAATAAAACGTGCAGAGATATATGGATGTGTGGATTACACAAGGAGCCCCAGTGTTCTATCATGGTTGTTGAGATTTCTTCGTCCACAACACACAGCCCAAGATGCATCTCAGGCAAAACCACCCAGAACAGGACACAGGAGACCTAAATCCTGCCAACACCGAGGCCTCCTTGAATTCTCAGGCATCAGCTTTGTTAGACCTCAGTCCAGCTCTCTGGGAACCTCCTTGTGCTGCCGGCTTGTGAGCTCAGGCCTGGGCATATGACTCCTCCCTGAAGCCAAGGCAGGGCCCTTAGAGGTTCTGTTTTACCCAGACCCAGCTGACTCTAATGGCAACCACGAATTTCCTGTGAGCAAACCACATTTACCAAGTTCCGTTTCCTGGAGGACCACACAAGCCCTTCCAAGAAGCCTGTGCATTTGGGTGCAGTATATACCTGCCGGCTGGATGGCAGTTCCATGGTGCCATTTTGTCTCTGTGGAGTGAATGTTAGATCGCTCTGGAGACTTGCTCCTCGTGGTAACTGTGTAGCCACATCTTCAAAGAGGGGGTGAAAATCAGGACGGAGCCCATCACCGACACCGTCAGGAAGAGCCACAGGAAGATGCGGTCCAGAACTTGCGCTACGAACTTCCAGTCTTGTACCACCTGCACAAGAGAAGGAGAGGTAGCTTCCATGTCGGGCAGCCATTCTGAATTTGTCCCAAGGGACTTAAAAAGGGTGATATTCAGATTTACGGTTTTCAAAGCACACCTAACACATCACCTGTACTCTAGGCTCGGATTCTTCCCAAATTAAACAGCCCGTGAACACTGTCATCAACAATGAAGATGTACAATAGAAACACAGAATCATTGGTGCATTTGTAAGCATGGATGGTTAAAATGGGGGAAACCCCACTTTTTAAAAAAAAAAAAACACACACACAAATAAAAAGCCAATATCGAGGGCATGTATGGGAGTGGAGAAGGGGCAGTGGTAAGATATGTACACATATAATACCTTAATAAAAAAAATGAAAAAAATATGCAAAAATAAATAAAAAGCCAGTATCTCTCAGTGTGATGCTTCCTGATATCATATATGAAATGAACCACAAATTTATAAATTAAGAATTTTTGTGGCTCAATGTCATAAGCCTATCTTTTTTTTTTTTTAAAATATATTTCTTTATTGATTTCAGAGAGGAAAGGGGGAAAGAGAGAGATATAGAAACATCAATGATGAGAGAGAATCATTGATCAGCTACTGGGGGCCGAACCAGCAATCCTTCACCGGAATCGAACCTGGGACTCTTCAGTCTGTAGGTTGACGCTCTATCCACTGAGCCAAGTTGGCTAGGGCAAGCCTATCTTTCTTCAATCCCACATGTGGGCTTGGCTGCTCCAGCTCCAGAATGATAGACAGTGCCAAGGAGGAGACCTGACCAGGAGAGGGCAGGAATTGATAAGGGAGAGAGGAGACCAAGTCCCTCTGGAGGAAGGGAAGCTGTGAAGGGCAAGGTCAGAGCAGGAATAAGCTGCGAGGCTGGAGAAGGACGGACCAGTCATCATCTTTAAAGGGGAAAGTGCCTATTTCTACCACATAAAGATTATATGTACTATGTCTCAAGTCACAGATCTGAGTCCAGGACGGTTTTGAGTCTGAAATTCACATCCTTGCCACACATTTTTTGTTCAAATCTGTAAGCTACATTACTACACCCCTCTAATATTCTAAACACTACTACTATTGGTTGTAACACTATTATTTCTTTATTGATGAAGGTATTACATATGTGTCCTTATTCCCCTATTGCCTCCTGACACCCCCCACTCCCATGACCTCACCCCCTGGTGTCTATGTCCATTGGTTAGGCTTATATGCATGATACAAGTCCTTTGGTTGATCTCCTCCCCTTACCCCCACCCTCCCCTACCTTCCCTCTGAGGTTTGACTGTCTGATTGATGCTTCTCTGTCTCTGGATCTGTTTTTTTGTTTTTTTTTTCATCAGTTTATGTTGTTCATTATATTCTACAAATGAGTGAGATCATGGTAACACTCTATTTTAATATTAGTTAAAAAATCTGATACTTCCAAATTCTATGGTTAGAAATACCCATCATCCCATTTAATTAAAAAAAAAAAAGAGAGAGAGAGAGAGAGAAATTACCAGAGACCAGAATAGCCTATTTAAAATGTAGAATTGAATTATTTTCAATAGAATTAAGTCAAATCATAAGGAATAGCACTTAATCATAGTTGCTTCACTTTTTCCTATTCTGTTTTTGCGAACTTCTTAAAAATCCATATCCAAATCCCTAATTTATGTCAGGGTTTGTTTTACATTTTGTACTTGTAAAGCAGCTAGCGAATCACGCCACATTTCAAATAAGGACAGCCTTTTGTTGTAAATTGCAGTGAGAACATTCATTCTGGCGCATCTCAATGGCGGCGTTATTCTGCATCCCAGTCTACTCACCTGGCTGACACAATGCTCCTTCTTCACATGCGTGGAGATGTACCGAATGGACTCTGCAGCCTTTTCCAAGAAAGCAACCAGCACTTTCTCTCCATCACTAACCTGCTTCTGCTTCTTTCTCTCTAGGACTTTACCTGGCACCACCCGTCTGCTCTCTTCTCTCTCTGGGGAAGAGTAGCGGTCCACGTGGTCCTTCATGCAGAGTAACTTAGGGAGTTTTTGCAGAAAGAGCCTCTTCACCCAGGGGGCCATGGGGTGGTACGTGGAGGGAGATCTGTGGTGAACGTTAATGACGAACACGGTGACAATAATCGACAGGGTGACGAAGATCATAATGAACAGCAGGTACTCTCCAATGAGAGGAATGACCTTGGAGGAAGAAGGGATGATCTCCTCAATCACCACCAGAAACACCGTCAGGGACACCAGGACCGAGGTCGACAAGGAAAGCTTCTCTCCTTCATCCGAAGGCAAATAGAACACCAGAACCGTCAGGAAGGAGAGCCCCAGGCAGGGGATGATCAGGAAGAGGGTGTAGAACAGAGGCAGGCGACGCAGGACGAAGGAGTAGGTGATGAACGGGTAGGCGTACACACCGTCTCTCCGGTGTCCCTTCCTCCCTTTGGCGTTTAGTATTTCCCACTCCCCGTTATCGAAGAAGTCTTTCCTGTCGACGTGTTCGTTGATCAAGACGAGGTCGACCATGGTCCCGTCGTAAGTCCAGGACCCGAACTTCATGGAGCAGTTCTGCCGGTCAAACGGGAAGAACGTGACGTCCATGGTGCACGAGCTCTTATAACTGGCGGGAGGGGTCCAGGTGACGGTCCCATTGGATTTCACGAGGGCCTTCGTCATGAGGGAGCCTTCGAAACGTCCATCAGCACTGTGGTAAAAGCAGGTTCACTTTAATGGCAAGCTGACCCTTATTCGTGTTGTGTGTGTGTGTGTGTGTGTGTGTGTGTGTGTGTGTGTTTTGCCCACCACCGGACTATTTGAATTTTATTACTTTCCTACTACAGGGTCAAACAATAACTCAAAAAGAAACAGGCCCTGACCAGTTTGGCTCAGTGGATGGAGCGTCAGCTGTGGACTGAAGGGTCCCAGGTTGGATTCCGGTCAAGGGCATGTACCTTGGTTGCGGGCACATCCCCAGTAGGGAGTGTGCAAGAGGCAGGTGATAGATGATTCTCTCTCATCCATGTTCCTAACTCTCTGTCCCTCTCTCTTCCTCTCTGTAAAAAAATCAATAAAATATATATTCAAACAAACAAACAAACAAACAAACAAACAAACAAACAAAAAGAAACAGGTCCCTCATCACTTGAAGTTGTGCATTTCTCTTCAGTATTTTACCAACATCCAGCTTTTCTACCTCTGGTCCTAACTTGCCCCAGTGTCTTTTTCTTCTACGATACTTACTTTTCAAAGAGAACTATGTCAGGGAGCCAGAGAGATTCCGATGGGACTTTAATGGAATGAATTCCACCGTATTCATCTGGATTCCAGCGTAATTTGTGGTCTGTCCATTCCTGCATACAATCAGCATAACTGTAATTTTATTCTGAATAGTCAGTGTTTTACACTTTGTAATCTTCGAGTTTATGTTAATTTACTAACCCAGTGTTTTACTTCAGTAGTGCATTATTAGGTCTTATGATCCTAGCTGTGGCGGTTGGAAAGACAGGGCTAGAGCCAGCCTGTCTCTGGTCTTGCCTAGGCCCACACATGCATCCCACCTGGGATTTCCAAAATTGCTACATCTACAGCTCAATGAAGAAGCTCAGCAACAAAACACCATCAATTCATGATCCATTTTTTCCAGCCTATTTTCTCTTATGAAACAAAAAGCAATGATAGATCTAACTCGGTTTTGTCTAGGTGACTTGGTCAGGTGATATTTTAATCTTACGATAAAGGGTACAAATATTATAATTTTGAATGTCACTCAAGAGTCCTCAACAGCCCTAACTGGTTTGGCTCAGTGGATAGAGCCTGTGGACTGAAGGGTCCCAGGTTCGATTCCGGTCAAGGGCATGTACCTTGGTTGCGGGCACATCCCTGGGGTAGGGTGGAGGGGCGTGCAGGAGGCAGCTGATCTCTCATTGATATTTCTAGCTCTCTATCTATCTCTTCCTCTTTATAAAAAATCAATACAATATATATATTTTTTAAAAAGAGTCCTCAACAAGTATCCATCCAGTATGATATTATGAAACATCCAGGATCTGCTGACTACTCTTGATGACATTACAACTTTAAAAAAAAATAAATCTTTATTGTTCAGATTATTACAGTTTTCCTCTCCCCCCCCCCTCCATAGCTCCCCTGACATTACAACTTTTATCCAAGGGAAAAAAATATTTTCCAAGAATTTTTTTTCCTAAGTTTTAATCGGAACTTATCTTCTGAGCACCCAATTACAGTTTTAAATTATACTCCTAATAGTGTTAGCCTCCAGATGCTTACATATTTGTTCTCATAATAGAATGAAATTATAGCATGTTTTACAGGGGCTGATGGACCCAGTTTAACAAGCCTGACCATTAATTGATTTGATTATGAAGGTTAAGAGGATGACATATGGATGACCCAATTACAGTAGAAATGGACTTTCTTAAAAAGATTTTGGATCCAGAATCTTATGAAATCTGACCTGAAAATTAAATTCTTCTGTTCTACTGTCCCTCCTGTGGACAGTTGAGTAATGATGTAGGATAATGTTAAACGACATTTCAGAACGGTAGACGGGGAATGCCCAGTGCGAGGTTTTCTGGAGCCCAGTGATGTCAGCTTTGTCATTAAAAAATTGGGAGTCAGCAGACGGATGCTTTGAATGGATGGTAAAATATTAGAATAAGCATGAAAATGATAGAACTACACACTCTAGATGAGATATTTTCTATTTTAGACAATGTTTGTGAGGCTCAATCTTTGAAAAACAAATTTTAAAAAATATGAGTTTTTAAAAAGCTATCTGTTCCCTAGCTGGTTTGGCTCAGTGGATAGAGCGTCAGCCTATGGATTGAAGAGTCCCAGGTTTGATTCTAGTCAAGGTCACATGCCCACGGTTGCCCGTTGGATCCCCAGTAGGGGGCATGCAGCAGGCAGCCAATCAATGATTCTTATAATTGATGATTCTCTCTCTCCTCCTCCTTTTCTCTCTGAAATCAATAATAAATAAATAAATAACATTAAAAAAAATACTACAATCTAGTGATAAAAGTTGCATGACAATTTATGGGAAAACCATGCCTATGAAAACTGACACTTTAAAAGGCCAAACTAGCTGAAACCGGTTTGGCTCAATGGATAGAGTGTCGGCTTGGGGACTGAAAGGTCCTGGGTTCGATTCCGGTCAAGGGCATGTACCTTGGTTGCGGGCACACCCCCAGTAGGGGTGTGCAAGAGGCAGCTGATCAATGACTCTCTCTCATCGATGTTTCTAACTCTCTATTCCTCTCTCTTCCTCTCTGTTCAAAATCAATAAAATATATTTAAAAAATAAAATAAATTAAAAGGCCAAACTATTAAAGTATTTATCATGTTTACTTGGTACTCACAGGCTTATTTTTTCCCCCCTTTCCTCTGTCCATTTTGAAAAGCAAATATAATTTCATTCCAATTTGTTTCTTGCTAAGGAGACTTTTACCATCAGCAGCAGGTCTGAATCTCAGCAATGTTGAGGGAAACTCAGATTTGCATTTTTTGCCTGTTTCACTTTCACCTCACTTATGTTTTAAAAATTTATTTATAATAAAACCTTTTTTGTGTATAGTTCTATATGCAAACAGCTGCATAATCACTAACATCATCAGGATACCAGAACAGCTCTGTTGCCCAATAAATTTCCCATTTGCAATTAAACCCTCCCACACCCCCAACCCTTGGCAACTGCTGGTCTATTTTCTGATCCTATAATTTTGCATTTTCTAAAATGCCATATCAATAGAATCAGGCAGTAGGTAGCCTTGTGATCTTAATTTCTTTTGCTTATGACATGGATTTTGGATTCTTCTATGTTGTATTAATTTGTTCATTTTTATCAGTAAAGTCTCCCATTGTATGAATATACAACAATTTTTTAAAATTTTAATATTTTTAAATATAATTTTTTGAAAGTATTACATATTCCTCCTTTCCCCCCCATTGACCTCTTCTAGCCCACCTCTACCCCTGCCCCAGGCCTTCACCACCCTATTGTCAGTGTCCATGGGTTATGCACATATACATACAAGTTCTTTGGTTGCCATCTTCCCGCCCACCCACCCACCCACCCCGCCTGCCTTCCTTCTGAGATTGGACAGTCTATTTCATGCTTCTGTGTCTCTGGATCTATTTTGTTCATTAGAGTCCACATATGAGTGAGAGCATGTGATACTTGTCTTTCTCTGACTGGCTTATTTTGCTTAGCATAATACTCTGAATATACTACAATTTATTCATTCTTTAGGTAAAATATTTGGATTCTTTTCATTTTTTTAAAAGTATATTTTATTGATTTTTCTTACAGAGTGGAAGGGAGAAGGATAGAGAGTTTGAAACGTCGATGAGAGAGAAACATCCATCAGCTGCCTCCTGTACACCTCCTACTGGGGATGTGCCCGCAAACATGCCCTTGACCGGAATTGAACCTGGGACCCTTCAGTCTGCAGGCCAATGCTCTATCCACTGAGCCAAACCAGTTAGGGCTCTTTTCCGTTTTTAACGACCATAAATAAAGCCACTGGTTTTCTGGCACTTGCACCTAAAAAGTTCTTAGCTGATTTGGGGAGAATCCCAGGTGACCCTGAGCAGCAGCATGCTGCAGGCACTCCGGCAGAGAGCCCCGGGACACATTCTCAGACCGATTGATTGGAGTGGAGCCCTTACATTCCAGCTCGGTTTTGGAAAACAATGTTAGTGAGCACAGCTAATGAGCCCAACCCCATAGTTCCGCCCTTTGGACCGTAAAGATTTTTGGAAATGAAATCGCGTGCTCCTTGGATTCTGCTTTCTCTCCACTCCAGGCCCAGCCAGTGTGCCTCTGTGCCCAGCTCTGCACTGCAAAGGAGGAAGGTGCGCGGCTGGTATTCTGGGCCCCTGCCTTGGTGCAAACACCGGTTTTACTAAGAGAACTGGGCCAAGCCCCAGGGCGAGGGATTTTTCAGCCAGAAAGGTTTGCCTTGCTTACTGGCCTTTGAACCGTGGCATGAACAGCTGTGGCCAGAGATAACATAGAGGTAGCGGTATATTATGGGGCTCACAGTTTTGGGGGGGATGAATGCATTCTACCAGTGTGCCAGGCTTGTGTGCGCACGGAACACACACCACCACCATGTATTCCAGCCTGGTGCTACCTCAGACAGTAAACAAGTAAACTAACAAGATAACCAACAACCACACCCGGGGCCCTTGCTATGAAGGGGGTACGAGGTGTAGTTTGTGGACAGGGAAGGGAGTTCTGAGGAGCTGACACTCCAACTGTGACATGAAGGGCAAGAAGGAGTAGGGGGGCCCTAGCTGATTTGGCTCAGCGGATAGAGAGTCAGCCTGTGGACTGAAGGGTCCCGGGTTCGATTCCAGTCAAGGGCACATGCCACGTGCAGGAGGCAGCCTATCAATGACACTCTCTCATCATTGATGTTTCCATCTCTCTCTCCCTCTCCCTTCCTCTCTGAAGTCAATAATATATATATATATATATATACACACACACACACACACACACACACACACACACACACACACACACACACATATATATATATATATATATATATATATATATATATATATATATATATATATATATATATTTATGGAGCAGTAGGCAGTGGGGTGCAGAGTTCTGCCAGAGATGGAGCCGTGGGAGGGAAGCCTTTGGATCCCTGAGGGGGAGATAAAGAGGCAGTGGATTCAGGCTGCGTTCCTGCGCAGTAAAGACAAAGGGCCAGTGGACTTTTGGTGACGGCTGTTACTCTGGTGCCCACCAGAGAGAAAGGGCACTGAAGCCCGGGGCTCCCCATGTGGATTGGCCTTTATCAGTTGCACTCCTCGGCAGGTGGAGAGAGTCACCCTCACAAGCAGGATGTCCTTCTGTAGCCAGACCTGGGGAATCAGACGCTGTCCCTGACATGCCCATCACAGAGGGCCTCACCGAATTTCTATCGCGATGTGAGCCCACCACCATGCTGGCCGAGCCCCGCGCCCCCAATGACCACGTTGTGTTAGACACAGCAGGGTCAGGATGAGGATTCAGAGCCCAAATCCTCCACCTTGTCCTCTAAGGAACTGTGAGATTTTCCGGGCAGGTCCCTGTTCTCGCCGAATCTGGAGGCTCACCTGGAGATTAACCTCCTGCCTCTTCCCTTCCTAAAGGGAGAGATTATAAATAATACCCTGTGGCCGCCGAGCACGTCCTAGCCATGACTCTCAAAGCCCTTGACAAATATCAGCTCCACTTCCACGGCTCCCAGTGAGGGCGGTGTTATTGCAGGAAACAGGAGAGAAGGGGGCGTGTCAGGGCCAAATATCAAAGTTAATCTACCAC